GAATCGAGGAAGCCATGATTGCTGTAAAACGTCAAAATGCCCCTCCCACGTGCATCCCACATGCGAACTAAGGTCAGCTAGGTACAGGTCTGGTCCAAAGGTAAAAGCAGCTCAGCCATGCCCAAGCTCGCTTGGGCCAAGGGTTGGGGGGCAATTGATGATACCTCAAAAGAAATTTCAAGTGTCAGCTCAAGAGGTCAGATCAGCCCAGGAGGTCAGACTAGGCAAACAGAACTCAGAAGAGTAGAGCTGGAGGTACCCTCAAGATAAGCGATGACAATGACAACCAAAGCAAGAACTGGATAATCACGAGAGGTTTCTAAAGCATTAGGAAGCTATAATCAAGACACCTAATCTCACTCAATAAAGATCTTCTCCTAAAAATTAGGGAGAACCCCGCGAAGTAAGGGCAAGAATCTTGGCCAAGATCCCACTTAGCAGAGAATGACTCTATAAATGCAATGTAACACCTCCTAACAGGGGGACGAACCCTAGAAACAAAAATGAGTCATTGTAACCTTGTAACGACGATTATTGAAAGAAAATGAGTAAGAGCCTTCATTCCAGAGTGGACTATCCAAACTCCCGAGCTGGTGAACCACTATATTTCTACTGTGTTAATTCCCCAACTCCGCAACAATTCCCTCGATTCTAATATCTCAGATTTCAATAATTTCAATATTGTTTATTTCATTTACTCGTCATCACAAAAATGGCTTCATGTTGAAATACACCATCAGCATTCAAATTCAATGTTCGATTTTTTTTAATTGCACCGTGTCTTTAGGCACGAGTTGTCCCTAATATTTTGATATTGTACCTTTAGTTTTTAATCGATAAGAACATTTATATATATTTTTTATTTTGTAATTGTATTATTCTGATTAAAAATTATAATTTTTTATTTAAAAATAATAGTTGCGATGATGGAAATATGAGACCACCAACTAAATAATTGGTCGCCCTATAAATACACCAGACTGGACAGCCAGAATGAGGTCAATTCAACAAGCACATAAATCGCGACCAAAAAAAAAAAAAACACAAGCACACAAATATCTATTGTGTACTTTGTTTCCTCTTTCGACCATCACTCTGTGTCAGTGAATAGTCAATTCATTCAACCGTCGGTCGGTGTGTCCGTGAATCTCTCCGCCTCTAACCCAATTTTTCTCTCTCCTGAAACAACTCTTTTGGCTTCTGTTTTCCGCTATCTCCGCTCTCACTCTACCCCACGTGTCCCCATCTTTCTCTCTCTAAATTTACACACAGTACCATTCCGCTAATTGGGCCTTCTTTTTGGCCACTTGCCCTTTTCTTTGGTGACTGTGACTTGTACAGACGCAATGCAGCTATGGGTTTGATTCTTTTTCTCTCATAGGGTTTTGCGGTGGAAGGTAGTGGTTTGTGGTGAGAAGATGATGAATTTTTGGGGCAGAAAGGGTATCAGGAAAATTCTCAAACGCAAGGACAGTGATGCCGGGGAGAGAGGTACTTTTCGATCGTTTATTACTCTTTTTTCTGTCATATTTTCCATCTTCTTCTCTCATTTTGCTTGGTTAAGATTTCTGGGTTTTGCCTCATTTAGTTTTATACTCTCAGTTTGCATGCGATATGGGTTATTGGGTTTTATTATATACTCGGCTCCAAAGTAGTTGTCTTACTTGGTAGTGAATGTTTACTTGGATTTCTTTTGTCTGAATGCTTAATCTAATGAAAAATCAAAAAGGCTTTTGCTGTTTTCTGAATGTTGGCTGCTGGGTGATCTCATTTTTGAGGGGCTTAGAAAGTCCTGTTTTGTTGATATGACTGTCTAATATGTTAATTCTATATTCTTGGTCCTACATTGGGTGAATCTCAGTTGTCTTCGTTTTTTTAAAAATGTTTTGATAGGAAAGAGAAAAAAAAATTAATGGCAAATATTGGCCATTAAACACATTAGGTTGTGGATAGACGAGAACTGTGGAAAATACTGTATTATTTCTAGGTGATTTTTTTTCCCATTTGGTCCTGGTATGTATGAGAGCATTGTCCTTTTAGAAGCAGGGGCAATAATTTTATGTGAAAGGGGATGGGGGGAGGAGTATGTTGTTGATGAATAGCAGGGGCGGAGCTAAAAATTTTGTCCAGTGGGGCAACCTAAATCATATGAATATTAAAATTATTAGAAAAAATTTTAATCACACCTCTCCTAATTTACTATATCTTTAAGGATATCCCCTCTACTATCAAAAGCATAACTGACACCCCTTCTAGTTTAATTTAAACATCACTAACACCCCTTACCATTAAACTACCATTTCTAACAAAAAAAATTTATCTAAAATATCAAAAATGCCCCTACATAAACCTCAAGTAATTTGATTTGAATTGATTGAAATTTGATTTGAGTCAATTGAAAATAATTTTTAATTGGCTAAAATAAAATTTTAATCAGCCCAAATTTTAAAAAAAAATATAATTTTTAATTGGCTCAAATTTTAATACGTAAAAAAATTAGAAAACAGAGGGGGTCTCATCGAAGATATGCTTATCTAGAGGGAGTGTGGATGAAGTTTGTCATCAAATATATCATGGGCAATTTAGTAAAATTGTATTCTAGTTAATATTTTTAATATAATAGGGGTGTCCCTGAAGATTTAGAAAATAGAGGGGTGTTTTTAAAGATATGATAAATTAGAGGAGGTGTGGTTGAAATTTTTCCAAATTACTAATGTTCACAAAAGTATCCTTTCATTNACAGGGGTGTCACTGAAGATTTAGAAAATAGAGGGGGTGTTTTTAAAGATATGATAAATTAGAAGAGGTGTGGTTGAAATTTTTCCAAATTACTAATGTTCACAAAAGTATCCTTTCATTAATAGAACGTCAATTAAAGTAACAACTCATATACATGAGCGCTATACAAAAAGAGCCAACAAAAAAAAGTTCACTATAAATTTATCTATAAGACCTAATCACCTAACAAAAAATTTTGAATCAATCATATATAGTTGAATATTAACAACCAATCGAAACAAATATAAACTATGACTATTTTATTAAGCTAAACTTTAGTATAAGAATTAATTAACCAATCACAATAAAATTATTCAAAACACCAAATTAAAATAATTTAATCTAACACAAAATGGAGGCATTTATCCTTTTAAAGGAATTTTTTTGACATTTATAAGTGACCCATATATTTGTCAAAATATCATAAATACTAATAAATCTTTTAAAAAAAATTCAATGGGGGCAAATCTTTAATAAATATTAAAATTTTTAAAATTATACTTAGTCCCCAAAAATTTTTAAAATTCTAGTGGGGGCAGATGCCCCCACTATAGATCCGCCATTGATGAATAGTAGAATGCTTCCAAATAAAGTAAAATCCATAGTATATATATTATTTCAAGTGTCGAACACTAATTATAAGAAATAAACATGGTGTAAATTTGGAGACCAGTGAAGATCATGTTCTTTTGTGTTATACTTTTTAGCTAAAATTCAGAAGAATAATTCAAAATTTTGTAGAAATNAGCAGTGAAGATCATGTTCTTGTGTTATACTTTTTAGCTAAAATTCAGAAGAATAATTCAAAATTTTGTAGAAATTTGGCCGAATTTGAGTAGTGTAAGGTTGAACATTAGTTTGGCACTTTGGTCACACAGAGGATGTTAGAAATCAATTGCCCTTGAGTTTAAAATTTTGAATCTATACAAATAACATATTGCTCTGTTAAAGGAAGAATATATTCATTTCAGTATTTGCTGATGGGACAGATTTTTTTAATAACTTTCCATGGTCACTTTAAATCCCTTCTGGATCATTTGGTATATATGCTTTGGAAAAAGATAAGTGGTGCTAATATTTAATATTGATGCCGATATTTTGACTATATCCAATAACTATAATCTTGGTCTGGTTAGGTATAATAAATGTATTAAGTCCTGCCAGTTGACGGTTTCATATTGAGATCTCTCTGGAAAACAAGCTTAATTGTCAGTTTGTGGGAGATAATATTCAATGTAATGGTGATACCAAATCATTAGTAACATATGATATCACCAACAAATAATAGTATATCATGTGTGTGTAGTGGATCATATTAATTGTAGTAACTTCCAATAATGATCATGTTAAGTGACTAATACCTTGGAATAATGGGGTTCACTTATCATACATGGTATATTATTATTGGTTGGTGATACCACGTGTTACTAATGATGTGGTATCACCATTACACTGAATATTTACTCTAGTATGAGGTGTTCTACATCTTTAACATGTTTTTCAATAGTTCAAAACTTGTGAATTAAATCAAACAACAGTGAAAGTTTATAGAATAGAACCTAAAAGGAAAAATAAAGATATGTANCATTACACTGAATATTTACTCTAGTATGAGGTGTTCTACATCTTTAACATGTTTTTCAATAGTTCAAAACTTGTGAATTAAAACAAACAACAGTGAAAGTTTATAGAATAGAACCTAAAAGGAAAAATAAAGATATGTAGGGGATATAATTCCAGCTACTTCCCATCACTCCTAAGGAGTATATAGAGTGTTCTATGTTGGTTCGAACAAGGGGGCCGGTGTGCTCTTTTGACAAATACATTTTAAGGATAAGGTTGTAAATAATTTCACAAAGATCTTGTAGGTCGAAGCAAACATTTCACTAATTCTTATGAAAAATTGAGAGGCTATATAATTTGGTAAACCTGCCAAGAAAATGTTCAAATATGGTGGCAATTCTCGAACTACACTACTTTGCTTTCTCAGTACTTCAAATTTTTCTGTTGTGGAATTCGCCTTGTATGAGTTGGCTCCAACCCAAGTGTTAGCGGCTCGTTTGTGTGTATTTGGCACAGAGGGTCATTCTTGGCCAGTCTATTAGGATGCAAGAATGTGAGTATCCCCAAGGATATGTGGCGCACTCCGCACACTCACAGTAAGGTCTTCATGTCCTTGCACTTGTTCTAACTCTGTAGCACATGTTAAGCTTACCATTCCCATGTACAATCTCTGGCACCGCATGAGCTATACACTATTCAGAGGTGAGGAAACAACAGAGGATTGTGCTCTCTACAGCTCTCAAGCTTAAAAAAATTCCTTTATCTTTCTCTCATTCTGTGTAGACTGCCTCCGCTCTTGCCCCACCAATTCTCCACGTGTCTGCAGAAACAGTGCGATGTCGTTAACAGAGGATTTTGTTAATTTTTTTTGGTTTTGTACTCAAATGGGGATCTGAATTTTTTTTCTTTTTTATTACTCTTTAGGTCTTTTTTGTTGTTGGACTTAGTTATTCATATCTTATTTGTCTCACTTGAGCAAATTTATATCAAACTCTGGCATATCCTCTTATGACTTATATCAGGCTGACTCTTTATTTGTTGTGATCTCAATTCTAGCCCATGTATGACTGGAGTGTATTTATTTTCAAGGCATTTTCGTACTATAGAACGCTGTTTTTATTGGTGCTGCCTCTCTTATATGCATTCATTAGTTGGTATTTCATATCTGTTGTGATTTAGGAAAAGCACTGGAGGAAGTACGGGCGTCTTTATTTAGCAAATTACAGTTATTTGGAAGTGCAAAGCGTCAACAGCAACCCCTACTGGGGCCCACTGTGGCTCTTACATTCAATTTTGTGGTTTCTGTTAGTATTATCTTGATGAACAAATTGGTTAGTCTCCTTACCTTGGTTTGTCCCTCTTCTGGATAAATAGGTTCTTTAATGTTATCGTGTTTGAGTTTTTATACTTATTTTGCTATTTGTTTCCTTGTTCAGGTGCTTGTCACAGTTGGATTCAATTACCCAATTTTTCTCACGTTCATTCATTACATATGTAGCTGGTTATTAATGGCCCTTTTAAAAGCTCTATCTATCCTTCCTGCATCTCCTCCATCAAAGTCAACCAAGTTTTTTTCATTGTTAGCTCTTGGGATAGTTATGTCTTTCTCTACTGGCCTTGCTAATATAAGCTTGAAGTATAATAGGTAAGATTTTAAAAACTTAATTGATTTGCTTCAATAGTCTTAGCCACTTCTTTCAAGTCTTAATAAAATTATGTATTTTCAGTGTAGGATTTTATCAGATGGCCAAGATTGCTGTAACACCAGCCATTGTTTTAGCTGAATTTNGGCTTGCTAATATAAGCTTGAAGTATAATAGGTAAGATTTTAAAAACTTAATTGATTTGCTTCAATAGTCTTAGCTACTTCTTTCAAGTCTTAATAAAATTATGTATTTTCAGTGTAGGATTTTATCAGATGGCCAAGATTGCTGTAACACCAGCCATTGTTTTAGCTGAATTTATTCTTTTCCGAAAAAGAATTTCATTCCAGAAGGTAACTACTCGCTATTTGAGATGTGTAACTACAGTATGCACCCAGAAATTTTGTTTTCTCATTCTATTGCCATTTCCTAGAGACATATATTTATTGTAAAATAGTGTTGAGATATGTATACATGTATTATTAGATTTCTTTTCAAGATTTGTATTTTATTTATTTGTCTATTTTTATTGCAACAATGTAGTGATAGCTCTAATGTGAACAAACCGATTATAGCTGACAAAATGCTCCAGGACAGGGGCTCCTATAGCCATTAACATCATCAACATTCTTAGAATATGTNTGTAGTGATAGCTCTAATGTGAACAAACCGATTATAGCTGACAAAAGGCTCCAGGACAGGGGCTCCTATAGCCATTAACATCATCAACATTCTTAGAATATGTCCAACAATTTACTAGTTCAATAAACAATAGACACTGCTGTGGATTTGAACCATTCAGACTCCCTTTATGTCATTACTGCTGCAGCTGAACACCACAAAAAATAAGAAATCGGAAAGAATGATTACCCTCACTATGGTATCAAAAGTAGCAGTCTCTACAGCATATTGCAGTGCAAGAAAATCTCAATTGGATAAGCATCATACAACTAGACTAGAGTAATTTCCCCCAAAACTGGCTGAACTCTCTAGATCAGTTCCGAGTCACCAACTCTATTCTGAAGTTGCTCCGATCCACAAATTCAACACATCGAATTTTGTAGATATTGTTAGGAGGCGGTGCCTCATTGGTTTTCCTGCCAATGATTTCTAACAGATAACAGAGAACAAGAAATTTCAGTAATAGGTCACTACAAATGTTGCTTCCTTTCAGTTATATATAAAGGGTGGCTTCATTATGTTCTTAAATAGTTCATTTGCGAACTTATATCTTATGAACTGACTGGAGCCATGCCAGAAAGCTATAGAAAAGGATTTATTACACAATCCAGGGACCTGCAAAGTGTTTCTTTTCTTTGGATTGATTCACTAGCATATGAAAGTTCCAAGGTGCAGTTGGTGGTGTCGTGAGCCTATGCACTTGTCTTTAGGGGATTGAAGTTGGAGCCTTAAGAGATTCAGGCGTATGGGAAAGGAAAACCATAGGGCTTTCAAAAACAACAAATTTACTTGGACCCTAGAATGGGGGCGGGAGCTAGAGTGAGAGCGTAAAAGTGGAAAAATTCAAAAATATCTTATAGCAGGAGTGCCTTTGAGAACGTCATGCTATATGCATCCATACATGTTTTCATATATAAAAGTTAGTAAAAATATAATTTAAAAACATAAATTTCATAGGCAAAGAAAAAATTGTTGGAAGACATTTCTATGCCTAGATAGATATCCCACATCAGAAGCAAAAGAAACAATGGCTGGAAGGCATTTCTATGCCTAGATAGCTATCCCACGTTGGAAGCACAAGAAAAAATGGCAGTCAATTAAGGCTATAAAAAGGGGGTCAGTGGGCTTCTTCATTGCTCATGTGTGGGGCCTTAGCTGCAAAAGTAGCCGAGACCTCTAAGTTGCTCTCTTGGGCTTGTGACTCAATTTTAGTTTAATTTAAATATTGAATTCATAGATTATTTTCTTGAATTCGCGAATTTAATATATTGAATATGTGAATTTGTCACAAATCCGAGTGGAGCGTTGGAGCGTGACCTGTTTTAGATGAATCATGTGACTTAGCTTTTACCTGTAGCTGCTTTTCCCATTCACAGGGATGGGGGAGTTGCCCATGAGACAGAAATCTCAGGTTTTACTGTTTGAATAGATTAAATCTTGCACTATGAGAATTCTCCACCATGCCTTTTCGTTTCAACTGCTAGGGATGGTTAACAGGAATTGATGAAACAGGCCGTGTGGCTGTGTGAGAACCCCTATCAAAAACATGTAGTCCCTTTCCACCAGTTATTTGGATGAAAATTTGAGATTGAATCATTTAATAGAAGATAGAAAGTGATAAAGAGTACAATGTAATGATTCAGACTTGGGGTACCAAATTGAAAATATACGATTTCCTTAGGTACTACCAATCTGTTTTACCCTATATACATTTATGTGTCGGTTTGTGTAAATACATGGTTTTGCACTTCATATATATGAAGAAGCCAGTGTTAAGTGTTATCCATGTTGTCTTAGCTAGAGCTGTGCCCACGATGGATATGTTCTTGGCACAAACACTGCTCCATATGACTGGCCTTGGGTCTTGGACATGTACCTAACATGTTTGGAATCTCTGAGATGAACTTAAATTGGAGGTTGTCTTGTTTCATTTTGGTACATTCATCCTATACCTTGTGTGCATCTAAATGGGCATTACTTAGTTATTTTCAGGATAACCAAATTGAAAGCATATTCTAGCACCACGTAAAAATAGAAGATTTCCAGTATCACAATAAAGTCCTGCATTAAATTTCTTAATTGATCATTTGAGAATGCGAAGTACTCCTTTGGATGTCTGGCAGAGTGCTGGCGTTGTATCAATTTCTGGAATATTATATGAAAACACAAATATGTTACTCGTTCAATTTCTGGCGTTGTTCTTTACTTTTGATAAGTCCGTTTACTGTCATAAAGAGAAAGTTGTTGGTTCTCCATTGCCATATTTGTGATGCTTACCATGTTACTTCTCAGGTTATTGCACTTACTGTAGTATCCATTGGTGTTTCTGTTGCTACGGTGACAGACCTGCAATTCCACTTCTTTGGTGCTTGCGTCGCATTGGCTTGGATAGTACCAAGTGCAGCAAATAAGATACTATGGTCCAATCTTCAGCAACAGGAAAATTGGACCGCCCTGGCGTATGTCACATGCTCTCCTTGACATCTTTTTCTTTTGGGTTTGACTGTCTTTTATGTATATTTGCTACTATAGCAAATCCTGCCAGGATATTTAAGATATAAAACTGACACACAGGTTAATGTGGAAGACTACGCCGATTACTTTGTTCTTTCTGCTACCTATGATGCAGTCTCTTGATCCTCCGGGTGTTCTTTCTTATAATTGGAGCTTCTATAACTCCACAATTATTGGCGCTTCTGCAGTCCTTGGCTTCTTGCTTCAGTGGTCAGGTGCTCTAGCACTTGGGTGAGTGACATCTGCCCATCTCTATATCTATTACATTCCCATAGGTTGAGAACTTTAAGTAATGGTCCTTGGATTACCTTCATCATATTTGCTCCAAAAGTGATGTGGTTTGTTGAGCCTGATGTCCGAATAGTTGGCACTTTGGCTGCAGCCCTATGGAATCGGGATGTTGTGCTAGGTGAACAAGGTTGCCAACTTTAGTGTCAGATATCCCATAAGACATTAGAAAATGTAAAGGAGTCAATAAAGATGTTTCATGGTATCTGGTCAAGTGGGCAGTCTAGTAGTCTTAGCTCTATTAAGCTCAGTGCATGAGGTTTGATGTTGCCGAGTGTTGAGTGAAGCCAAGTTTCGGAGATTCTCTAAACATCATCATTCCTTTGTGTGGGTTCACATGGAAATGAAAGGAATTCACTGCAAAACTAGTTCTTCTTGCATTCTCATACCTAACTGTTTTCACTAATATTTGTTTCAGCGATATGGAAACAAAAATTATATTTCACAACACCTGACTTTTTTGACCTGTTTTTGAGATTGAATGCAGCCAGCTTAAAGTAAACAACTTATTTCATGCTTGTTTGTTTTATAGATCATCTTTGTTTTATCATCTGCTCGCTTTCTTTCTCCACAGGCAAACTTCAGCTACTACCCATGTTGTTCTTGGCCAGTTCAAAACTTGTGTCATTCTTCTTGGAGGTTTTCTTCTCTTTGGTTCCAATCCCGGACCAACTAGCATATTTGGAGCAATCACTGCTCTTGTTGGTATGTCTTTCTACACTTATCTTAACTTGCTTTCACAACAGCAATCAGTTAAAACATCGTCAAGACAAGCTTCGTTCTCTTTACCAAAATCAAAGCTCGGCAAAGACAATGGGGGCAGCGACGAGATAAATGGGGATGAATCTGTTTAATTCTACAATTGACTGAGAGATGACAAACTGGTATACTTGAGCAGAGATTTCCTACTAACCTTGATTTTTTTTTATTTTTTGTATTTATATTTTTTTTTTCTACAATTGAGTTCTTTTGATTCCGGAACAGAGATCTGTTGATGTCATTGAATCTGATAACTAGACTGGAAATGCTTTGATGACCATTTCAGACAATTGTAAGGATCGCTATGGTCCTGTTCCAAAAGGCTTGCCCATACATTTTGGCAAATTTTTTGTTACTTGATTTACTACACGGTGTACATCCCTTATTTCTGTTAAGTTCTGAAAATTAATACAATATTAGAAAGAAACAAAGAGTGGTCAAAATTTAACCTATCTCTCATAAATCACTTGTATTTATAGTTAACTTGTAATAATATAAAAGACGTATATATCCCTTAATATTTACACATAATACCCTAATATTCTTAACATTCCTCCTCAAGTTGGATTGTATATATCATATAATTCAAGTTTGGAACNACTTCTCAGGTTATTGCACTTACTGTAGTATCCATTGGTGTTTCTGTTGCTACGGTGACAGACCTGCAATTCCACTTCTTTGGTGCTTGCGTCGCATTGGCTTGGATAGTACCAAGTGCAGCAAATAAGATNATTTCTCAGGTTATTGCACTTACTGTAGTATCCATTGGTGTTTCTGTTGCTACGGTGACAGACCTGCAATTCCATTTCTTTGGTGCTTGCGTCGCATTGGCTTGGATAGTACCAAGTGCAGCAAATAAGATACTATGGTCCAATCTTCAGCAACAGGAAAATTGGACCGCCCTGGCGTATGTCACATGCTCTCCTTGACATCTTTTTCTTTTGGGTTTGACTGTCTTTTATGTATATTTGCTACTATAGCAAATCCTGCCAGGATATTTAAGATATAAAACTGACACACAGGTTAATGTGGAAGACTACGCCGATTACTTTGTTCTTTCTGCTACCTATGATGCAGTCTCTTGATCCTCCGGGTGTTCTTTCTTATAATTGGAGCTTCTATAACTCCACAATTATTGGCGCTTCTGCAGTCCTTGGCTTCTTGCTTCAGTGGTCAGGTGCTCTAGCACTTGGGTGAGTGACATCTGCCCATCTCTATATCTATTACATTCCCATAGGTTGAGAACTTTAAGTAATGGTCCTTGGATTACCTTCATCATATTTGCTCCAAAAGTGATGTGGTTTGTTGAGCCTGATGTCCGAATAGTTGGCACTTTGGCTGCAGCCCTATGGAATCGGGATGTTGTGCTAGGTGAACAAGGTTGCCAACTTTAGTGTCAGATATCCCATAAGACATTAGAAAATGTAAAGGAGTCGATAAAGATGTTTCATGGTATCTGGTCAAGTGGGCAGTCTAGTAGTCTTAGCTCTATTAAGCTCAGTGCATGAGGTTTGATGTTGCCGAGTGTTGAGTGAAGCCAAGTTTCGGAGATTCTCTAAACATCATCCTTCCTTTGTGTGGGTTCACATGGAAATGAAAGGAATTCACTGCAAAACTAGTTCTTCTTGCATTCTCATACCTAACTGTTTTCACTAATATTTGTTTCAGCGATATGGAAGCAAAAATTATATTTCACAACACCTGACTTTTTTGACCTGTTTTTGAGATTGAATGCAGCCAGCTTAAAGTAAACAACTTATTTCATGCTTGTTTGTTTTATAGATCATCTTTGTTTTATCATCTGCTCGCTTTCTTTCTCCACAGGCAAACTTCAGCTACTACCCATGTTGTTCTTGGCCAGTTCAAAACTTGTGTCATTCTTCTTGGAGGTTTTCTTCTCTTTGGTTCCAATCCCGGACCAACTAGCATATTTGGAGCAATCACTGCTCTTGTTGGTATGTCTTTCTACACTTATCTTAACTTGCTTTCACAACAGCAATCAGTTAAAACATCGTCAAGACAAGCTTCGTTCTCTTTACCAAAATCAAAGCTCGGCAAAGACAATGGGGGCAGCGACGAGATAAATGGGGATGAATCTGTTTAATTCTACAATTGACTGAGAGATGACAAACTGGTATACTTGAGCAGAGATTTCCTACTAACCTTGATTTTTTTTTATTTTTTGTATTTATATTTTTTTTTTCTACAATTGAGTTCTTTTGATTCCGGAACAGAGATCTGTTGATGTCATTGAATCTGATAACTAGCCTGGAAATGCTTTGATGACCATTTCAGACAATTGTAAGGATCGCTATGGTCCTGTTCCAAAAGGCTTGCCCATACATTTTGGCAAATTTTTTGTTACTTGATTTACTACACGGTGTACATCCCTTATTTCTGTTAAGTTCTGAAAATTAATACAATATTAGAAAGAAACGAAGAGTGGTCAAAATTTAACCTATCTCTCATAAATCACTTGTATTTATAGTTAACTTGTAATAATATAAAAGA